CCTCGCGCGGGAGGCCCCCGCAGCCGCCCCAGCCGCGCAGGGGCTGCGGCGCGGCGCCATCCGCCTCCCGCGGCCGCTTCCGACCCGCCGCGCCGCCCCCGCCGCGGGCCAGCTCGGCTCGCCAGCGCCGGCGGAAGAGCTGCAGCTCCGCGGACGCGTCCATGGCGGCCCGGGGGAGCGCCGCGACCGGCCGCTTCCGGCTGGCTGGTCCGTCCCGGAAGGCGCCCGGAGCGGAAACGGCGGCGGCCGCGCGAAGGATCCGCGAGTCAGGGCGCGCCCCGACGGGCCGCCCCGCGCCGGCGCCCTGCGGAGGAGCCTGGCGGCGGCGTGCAGCCTCCGCACGCCGTCCCGGGGGAACGGAGCCGTGGAGGCGGCCTGTGGCCGTTTGCGCAGAGGGCCTGCTGGCGGGTGGGGGCTTCTCCGTCTAAGCAGGCATAGGGTTTGCCTTGGCCGGAATCTGAATGCAAGACCCGCTCTGCGCTGGAACCCTTTCCAGGGAAGGGAAAGCCTGGCCGTGGTGATACGAGAGACAAGGTGCTGCCAAACCCGACCTGCCTTCCCCCAGCTGGGGCGGTCGATATGCCGTCGAACAGAAGTGGACTATAACTTCCAGCAGCCGCAGCCAGTCATGGGGGAATGGAAACTTCGGAGCAATCCCATGCCTGTTTAGACAGAAGAACGGGCTTGCAATGCAATCCGTCTTTTCCCGTCGAAAGAGGCCCAGGAGTGCACCTTTGTGCAGCCCCTGTACAGTGGCAGTTTATATGTTTGAACTCTTTCCAGAGAAAGGAAGGAGTAATAGTAGAAAGAATTACATTTGATCAAGTTGGGTCAGTCTTCTACAAGCTGGTGCTGTCCAGATGTTTTGGAGTAGAATCTGGGGGAAAAGAAACTTGATCAGAATCTGAATGCAGTGCTCATGATCTGCTTGAACCCCTTCTGAGGAGGTTGAGACAACAGTTCCCAGTGCTCCCGATCACTGATTGAAGTTGGAGTCCAACACGTCTGGAAGGCAACCACTTACAGGAAGTAGCTTTGGAAACTTACGGAGCATCTGCTTTGCCCTTGCCAGGTCCCAGATTCCATTTGTGGCACTCCTGGGTAAGGACTCAGAAAGAGGCCAGCCTAAGACCTTGCAGCAGCTTTCTCCAACCTGGTGCCCTCCAGATGTGCTGGAATGCAACTCCCAGATGTGTCCTGAGAGTAGAAGTCCAACCTACCTCTCTTAGAGCAGGTGTGGGCAGAAGGTAGATCTCCAGATGTTTCAGACTTCAGTCCCCGGAATTCCTGGCCATTTTGGCCACGCTGCCTGGGGCTTCTGGGAAATGAAAACTAAAACATCTGGAGAGCTACTTTTTCCTTTCCATCTCTGTCACAGAAGGATGGTGGCCAGATGTTCTTCACTCCCATCATCTTCCCCATCCCCTCCTTCTCACTACTTGTATAAATGGATTGATTTTGCTTCATGTCCCTCAGGATGAACTGAAGCTTGTTCCATGACAATGTATTACGCCAAGAAGAAATATAAGGTGCTGCAAGATACTTCAAATGAAATCCAACAGAACATGAATATAAAACAATTCTTAGCACTGACATTGGGTCCACAGAGGTTTGGTTGTACAAGTGTGACTCAAGTTGTGTGTGTGCCTACTGTACATGGCTTGGAACACAATTTCCACTCTGGAAGGGTGTTGCACTAATGGACAGACACCATAGGAAACAACCCTTTATTATTGTTGGTGCAACAGACTTAGACAGTGATCATTCTGGATATGAGGATTCCAGGTACTAATCGTAAAATGGAATGAATATACTGAGTTGGATTCAGATAAACTAATCTGGTGGAAGTAATTTTCCTGATTCCTTCTTTTCCGGGAGGCCTCTCCAACCCCCTTCTACAAAGCAGAACCCTTCTTCTAAAGGAAGGCAAACCCAACCCGATGAGATAATGCAAGCCAAATGCTTTGAAATGCGGTGCATAAATGCTTCTTCTTCTTATTGATGAAAAGCAAATTTCACTGGGAGCCAGAATTTTAATGCATAAGGCTGATACTTTAGAGTTTATGTTCTTATTCTTGAGGCCCTTGAGGCTGTGGTGTGCTACCTTTCCTTCTTATAATGTGATAGTTTTGCTTATTAAACAATAAAGTCATTATTTTTGCATTCATGTCCTACTTAACTCAGTAAATATCTAAACAGGTGGAAGGCAAAGGAATACACATGGCAGGAAAAGTTGATCCCCATATTGCTTTATGTATTATTAAGTAAAGTTATTGCTGTATCATTCTTTAGTCAAAAGCTAGCTAGTGTACAGTCCAAAAGGAAAATGACTGCTAACCCCAAAAGGTAAAAGCAAAGCAGAGCAATTAGGAACAAGAGAGCAAATGCCAACCAATTCACTCTTTGCCAAAGGGAGCCAACCAATCCCCCAACTCCTGAAGAGAGTTCCACAGATGAGGTGCCTCCACAGAGAAGGCCTTTTCCTTTGTTCCCTCCCATTGAAGCTCACTCAGTGGTGGGACCTCAGCTGATCTTCAGAACACACAGGCAGATGCAGAAGGAACTAGCAGACCTTCAAATATCCTGATTTCAAGCTATTTGGGCTTTATGCATGAGCATCTTCAACTGAGCTCCAGCCTTGCTAACAAACCTTTGCTGCTTATCCATGATGGACCCACAGATCACAACCCATCAGCAAATCATGGGTTCTCCTTGTGGGTTGTTTGGCTTAACCAACTAGTTTGCTAGCATGGCTGGATTCAGACAACACCATAACTCATGGCTCAGTTATAAGTCTCAGTCATCTCACATACAACTCTAGAATGTGAATTATCATGGTGCCTGGATCCAGTCACTGAGTTAAATCAAGTGTGGGAAGCTTTTTCTCTCTCAGGGCCAGATTCAATTTTGAGAACCCCAGGGCAGAGGGAGCATAATAGTGGTAGTTCCCCAAAAAGGGTAGGGCAAAAGGCTAACCTCCCACAGCCTGGTGTAATTTAAAGCTGTCACGGGTGGTAACTCTGCCCTTCAAGAGCCATGAAATGGGAAACCTGCAGAAAACCGCTATCTAAAATTGAGGGAAAGCTGCATAAAAGCTGGGAGTCCCCCAGTGGGAAATTGGGCCAGGAAAAGGGGGATAAAGTCAGGGGAAGGTCAGAGAGGGACTGCAGTCAGGCTGGGTTCTGTTCCCAGCCCTGCAGGCTTCCTCCCTTGCAAGAATGCTTAGCGTTGCAAGCTCTGTGTGTTTAGTTTCTGGGCTGTACAGCAGAGAGATTCATGCACCAGGCACCCCTGAGGTCCCTCTGGCCCCTGTGTCACAACACATCTGCTCATAAGACTGGAGCGTGTTCAGAAAAACAAAAGGCTGCCAATCTGCATCCTGAATTATCCAGTCCAAGAGGTCTTCTGAAGTTCAGCCCTTATAGCTATGATTCTAAGGAGAATCCACTCACTGTGTGGCATAGTGGTTAGAGCACTGACCTGGGGCTCGGGTGACCCAGGTTCTCCTCCCCATTCAGCCATGAGGCTTTCTGGGGGGTTGAATCTCGACATGAACTACCTCACAGGGTCATTGTTATGAGAATAAAATGGAGAGGAGGAGAACCTTGCAAGCTGAAAGAATGTCAAGCCCCATGGGATCTGTATTAGGGGGCTGCAGTGTTTGTCTGCAAAGGCGAAATGTGTGCTCGTGTCAGGGACCTCCAGCACACAAGTGACTGTACAGGCCACACGGCAGGCTGGAGGTCCCTCTTGCTCTTGCACGCGTCCCTCAGCAGCCTATAAATCTGCTCCTCAGCGTTTTCTCTCTGGCTGGGCAGAGGGGCTCATGCGGGAACGTAGGGCTGGTGCCACGGAAAAGCACTTTCACAGGCCAGCGACCAGCAGGGGAGACACTGCCAAGAGCCCTGGAGTTGTTCCTCCTTTGCTGCTGGGAACGGGGCTTCAGCCCATCATTCTTGCTCCGCTCTTGCAGCCTCTTGGGCGGTCTGTCCCGAGTTGCTTCCTGCTCTCTACCTGAGCAGTCCTGCTCCTGCTGTTGGCAAGTGCTCATCCTGGGCATGGGAAGAGCACTCCCTTGGAACTGAGTATCAGGCTTACCTATCCACAGGTACCTTTCTTAATAAGGCTTCGCAAGGTTTCCCCCTAGTATGCCATGGCCTCTGCCTGAGTTATTTGTTCCCTGCAACTGGGGCTAGCTGAGCATGAGATTAAAGGCCCACAGGACAATTATTATTACTAATAATACTAATATTACAATAACACAATGTACAGATAAAAGGGAAAACACCAGAACAATTGCAATACATTGCATCCGAAGTAAAAACTACAGTAGCTTCTTAATAAAAGTCCAGGGTGCTCACCTGGCTCAGAGAGAACTTTTGGGGAACCGCACATTCCCCAACACATTCCAGATTATTCACCTGACTCTTGCTGTGGCCAGGCAGTGGTGGTGGTGAGAAGAAGGGGCATCCGGGCAGAACGCAAGACGCAGGATTTAGGGAGTCGTTCCCTATATGGGAACAGCAAGTATTTCACCAGTGAAATGAGAAAGTGGGAAGGTGTCACACACCTGCAGCCGACCTACTGAGAAATATTTTCAGCTTCCTCAACATGGCACCTTTGGCTGTGATAGCTGGGTTTGATGGGAACTGTGTTCCATCTGCGGGGTGAAGGCTGGCTTGCAGGCAGTGATGCGCATGTATGTGGAGAGGTGGGCAAATATGGGAAGGAAGAGACAGCGTATTCCCCAGGTGAGTCAGGTTCAAGGCAAAAGAAAAGTTTAGGGACTGCCCAAGGGTTGCAGAAGTATAAAAAAGCTTTTTTTGCAGCGGGATCCTAAAAACCCATATAATGAGGACTCAGCATTCTCAAGTCAAGTAGGCACGGTGTGTTGGTAGGGATGGGAGAGAAATGGAAAAAGGGATGGTGTGCCATGGAAAAGGACCCGGCTGGCTTTTCTGGCCAGTTCCCTTGGTGTGCTCAAAGCTACATGTTTGCAAAGAGTGTTGTCTAACTCTCCAAAACAGATACTTAATAGAAATCAATCAGTGATTTGTACCAGGAAATGCAGACCGTTGGAGCAGAAGAATGTATGAAGAGAGGAGGGAGAAGTTGAGAGAGAGAGAGAGAGAGCGAGCGAGAGAGAGAGAGAGAGAGGCAAATTAATGATAAAAATAAATTAGATAAAGGAAGAAGTGGAAGAAAAAGATAAGCAGAAGGAAGGTAGATTAGAAAGTAAAGACGGAAAGAAGAAGATGCAGAAGATGTAGCGGCAGGACAGAAGGGAGGGAGGGAGGGAAAGGAGAGGGGAGAGAGAAATAAAGAAGGAATCCAGGGAAGAAAGAAACTGTTGGGAGAGAGATGAAGGAAGAAAG